GCAAATCCCATGTGTTTTTGGACCCTGACCCTGCGGATCTGGATGAGGGGTGTCAATTTTTACCCCCCCAGAAATTCTGAGGATCCTCCCAGGGCGTGGTAGTTCTGCTGGTTTGGGTTCCCCCCCCCTCGCGCGTTCATCAACAAGGAACAGTAAGCAGCAAGAAGCAGAACTGTAACAGTGGAAACTGTAAGCTGCAACAGGTACAGGGAGCAGCACATTCCCGGCCAACTTCCTGGTGGCCCCGCAAGGGGGCCGGCGGATCTTCTATCGTGACGTGTTGTGTTCTGTCGTGCTAGTCGCTGTGCTCCTGTTGGCGTGTTGTGGCATGTTATAAACGCTGTGTCGTGATATGATATGATCCGTCCAGTTGTGTTATGTTATGATCAGTCCTGTTATGCTATTGTGTGTTATGTCATGTTATGTTATGTAATGATTTGCCATGGTATGCTTTGTGATGTTATAGTGTTTTGTACTGTATCATGCATTGTTATGTTATGGTTTGCCAAGTTTGTTATGCGACTGTATGTTGTGTTATGCTGTCTCATGGTATGACTTGTTATGTCAGGTTATGTCATGATATGTCATGTTATGTCGGGACATGTCTACTATGATGTGCTATTATGTCATGATGTGATAGGGCATGATTTGTGATGTTATGCCATGGTATGTTTTGAAAAGATACTGCCACATGAAGTTCCGTCGTGTCATGTAATGGTCGTGCTTTGTCATGTTATATTATATTGACATATTGTCTTCTGTCGTGCTCGTCGCTCTGCTCTGTTGGTGTGATATGGCATGGTCTGAACGCTGTGCCATGACAGGAGATGTTCCGTCAATGAGTGGTATGTAATGTTCAGTTATGTTATGTTATGGTGTGTTTATGTCGTGTTATAGTATACGCTGTTCTGCCATGGTGTGCTTCGTGTTGTTATATTACGCTGCGCTTGTCATGGTATTGCTATGATATGTTATGTCATGCCATGTTGGATATTGCTGTGTTTTTCGTGTTTGTCGAAAGCGCGAGACGGGACTCCCAGGGACTCGGGGGCTCGGGACAACTTGGGGTCTGGCGGCCGCGGTACGCAGTCGTGTTTGTCGAGGGTGCGAGGCGGGAGTCCCAGGGACTATCAGGGACTCTCGGGACAACTTGGGGTCAGGCGGCCGCGGTATGCGTGGGGTTGGCCAGGGGGTCTGTTCTTGAAATCTAATAGCCCAAGCCTGTCGGGTGGGGAAAAGCCTCTCACAAGGCTGGGGGATCTCTGGGCCTTCTGAGAAGGCCTTTTCGCCTTCTCACTTGCCCCCCTCGCTCGCAGCCGAGAGACAGCAGCGGCTTGCGCGCTGGGGTGTGCCCCCCGCCCTCCCTCCCTCGAGCCCAGAGTGCCGCACGCCAAAGGTCACTCCAGGGGGTGTGGAGGTGCGGGCCAAAGCCCTGAGATCTGGGCGACGGAGCTTTTTGCCACACCAGGTGCTGTTCATCCCAGTTTCGAGCCCTGGGGCCCTCGCAGATTGGTCCGGCTCGAGAGATGCCGCAGAGAGATGGGCTCAAGGTCTCCGGTCTTGATGTTACATGATGTTGCATGTCGTACGCAATGCACATGTACATGATGTTGCATGTTGCTTGATGTTACATGATGCTGCATGTTCGATCATGAAATCCTTGGTCGTTCGTGCGGAAGACCTCCAAGGACAGCAGACAGGCCACCGATGGCCTCCGAAATGCCGCCGACTATCACCGAAGTCGGATGGGTAACACGGGGTCCGTGGTGGAACGCGTGGCAGCTGGATCAAAGGAAATGGGACACGAGGCACGCACGAAGCCTGTGCCCCCGGGCCGGCCCAGGACGATACACAGGCGCTGGGGACAGGGTCCAGGCCTCTGGGCGTCCTCGTTGTTGTGTCGGGGTCTGGGGAGGACGAGAGGAGGAGGACAATGACGCCGAAGCGCCTCAAGACAGCACAGGGCCCACCCCAGTCAAATACCACGGAGATGGTTCGGGCCCAGATCATGAGACACACACACATATATATATATATACTCGACAGTACTATTGCCCTGCATGTTGCCAGACGCTCTGGCGCGAGAGCCCAGCGCGGTTCGCCGCCCTGGCCTCCCTGGGGGGGGGGGGGGCTCTCCCATGTCGCCTCGTCGTTCGCTCCTCCCTCGGTGTTCGCGTCCTCGTCGTCGCCATCCGAGGCGTGCGGGACTCCAGAATGCTCATGGGCTCCCATCGCTGCGCGGAACGTCGTGATGCGTTTGGTCGCGGTGGCTTTGCACATCTAGCAGTGGAAGCGGTGCCCCTGGCCCGTCGTCGCCATGGCCTCTTTCCTGGCGTGTAGCCGCCTGGTCTCTGCGCCGGAAGCTCGGCACTACGGGCTCGGCGAGTATCCCCTCTCATCGCCAAAATTACAGGACGAGTAGAGTGCCTTCCACACCGCCTTTCCACGCCGCTGGCGTCGCCGCAGGCGGGGTCTGGTAGGCCCACCTTCCATTTCATGCGGGAGTTTCTACTCTCCCTCTCCCTCTGCAAGCGCCCATCATCGAACCGCGGTCTGGCGCGCGTCGCACATTTACGCGAACGTGAATTTCCGCCTCCCCCCGAACCCTTAAACCCTTCTCTTTCCTTGTCGTGAAGCTTCTATGATCTGCTTGATTGGCGGATTGCCCAACATGTCGGCAGGCATGTCGATCTTTGGGCCCCTACCTGCGCTTTGGGTATGTCGGCCCGATATGTGTTTATTGACTCCAGAGCACCCTCAGCATTTGACGTGACGAAGAGCGCGGCGGTGGGACGGCTGCAGTCTTCTCGGGCATGCCAACGTATTGGTTTATCATAATCCCCGTTCACAGGGCCTCGATCCTCGGCACCTTGAAACCTCGATCTTCGATCCTTGATCCTCGATCCTCGATCCTTGATCATCGATCCTCGATCCTGATTAGGGACCTCGTTTCGTGACCGTTGGAGGTCTGGATTTGGAAATCGGTGCTCTTTGTACTCCTTGTGTTTGCGACCCCGCACCCCCACCCCAGGATCCAAGGACCGCCCAAACTAGGCTAGGGGCAACCAGAAACATAAAGAGTCCTAGCCCCTCCGTGTTGGCATCTCTTCCCCAGCGGAAGGCGGAGGAAGGGCGGCGGAAGGCGGGCGCAAGTAAAACGAGGGCACCTCCCCCGACGGAAGCAGGCGGAAACCGGTGGAAGTAAAAGATACGCCCCGGAGAGATGGCACCATGTTTGGGTCCAGTGTTTCCGGCATCGGCCACACACGCGCATCTCTATCTATATATATATATATGTATATATATACACGTACACACATGGATACACACACATACGCATCGTTCGTTCTGCATCGGCCCGTTGATGTTACCACTTCTGGTAGATGGGTTGGGTGCGTTCCCAGGTATGCTTTGCTTGGCTGTGCAAGCTAAGTCCAAGCTGCCGGGGCCCCGCTTCGGGCTCTGGCTTAATCGAGTTCAGTGCCGGGGTGTTCAGAGCATGTGCAGGGTCATTGCAGTCGTTGCAAGTCTGGCTTCCACGCGGTTGCAGTGGCTCGGCCATGCAATCATCCAGCCTTCGCGCTGTATTGGCTCCAGAGGCTTCCTGGCACACATTACTTTACACTACGTGCAGCTTCGGCCGAACTGCCTCCGTCCTTTCCAGTGCCTGTCCAAGCCACCCGCTGTCGGGATGGCGGCTCAGAAGGCACCCTGGGCCATGTGGTTGGCGGGGGTGTCTGTTCACAGCACAGTGGTAGCCGCAATGTCTCTCAAGGCCGACAGCGCCCTGGCAGCCCCAGAGGCAGCCGAGAGAACCGCTGCTCGGACGGGCTCCGTCGCCCTGCTGCCGGAGACTGGCATCTACATGCAGAAAAGGAGGCGAGTTTGTGACGTGGGGTTCAGGGATGGACCCAGCATCGGGATCTGATGCGCAAGTGTGGTATATGCGCAAGTGCTCTGGAACTGACGCCACTGCCTGTTTGGGCTACGACAGCGCCTGGACGTCTACCACCAGTGCGCTGCTCTCGGGGGACGTGGTGGCGTGGCACAACAAGCAATCAGGCCGTGTGTATGACTGTGCACATGGGGGGTGCACCTATCAGCCCTACCCGCCGCCGGGCGGACACTGGGGAACACCGTACCGCATCATCAAGTTATCCAGTCGTTCAGCTGTCAGCGATGGTACTCCGATTTATTTAGGTGACGAGGTGTATTACTACGGTATGCAATCCAGTGTTTTCACGTCGTCTCACATTATCGGCTGCGGAGATTCGTATTGCACTGGTTTGTCGTCGAATACAATCAGCGGGAACACGTTCAAGCTGTGTAGCTCCTACGAATGCGCCGACACATCCACGGCCAGCCCCACGTCCAGCCCCACGGCCAGCCCAACGGCCAGTCCGACTGCCAGCCCAACGGCCAGCCCCACGGCCAGCCCCACGGCCAGCCCGACTGCCAGCCCAACGGCCAGTCCCACGGCCAGCCCGACGGCCAGTCCCACGGCCAGCCCGACGGCCAGCCCAACAGCCAGCCCCACGGCCAGCCCGACGGCCAGCCCAACGGCAAGCCCGACAGCCAGCCCTACGGCCAGTCCGACTGCCAGCCCTGGAGCTTCTGCCGTTGGCGATCCCCACCTGCAGAACATTTATGGTGAGCGGTTCGATTTGATGAAGCCCGGCGTGCATGTTCTGATCAACATCCCTCGTGGTGTGAGCGCTGACGCCGCACTGCTTCGCGTGCAGGCCGACGCGCGACGGCTAGGTGGACAATGCGCGGATCTATACTTTCAAGAACTGAACGTCACCGGGTCTTGGGCGGAGGCACAACAAGTTGGAAGGCATCACTACAGCGTATCCACCTGGCCACGGCAAGTCCCGCCACCGTGCCAGCCCAGCACCTTGGGTGGCGACTGCGTAGTGATGATGGTGGTGGTGTTGATGATGATTGCGACGGCGACGACGACGGTGACGATGGAAAGGAGGATGAGGAGGAGAAGGAAGCAGGCCGTCACATGTGGCGCCTTAGGGCTCACTGAGCTCAACTGAGCCGTCTTAGGGCTGTCTGGGGCTCCTGCGGGGCAGTCTTGAGGGCCCCTTGGAGCCCTTTTGGGCTGTGTTCGGCCCTCTTGTGCAGTCTTGGGGCTCTCTTGGGCCGTCTTGGGGCCCTCTTGGCCGTCTGGAGGGTCTCTTGGGGCTGTTTGGGTCCCTACGGGGGCCCTCGTGGGTCTTCTTGATGTCGTCTTCGACGCTTTGCGGCTAATGTTGGAGCTCCTTTGTGCCTATTTGAGTCGATCTTGGAGGCCCCCTGGGCTGTATCAAGTTGGCGGAAGCCCCGAACGTGAGAATCCAAATATCACCTAAGGGCAACCAAGGGGTTGTGCCTTTGGGGGTTTTCCGGAGGCTCCTCTTGGAGCCCTCTTGAGCGTGGGGCCTCTCTGAACTATCTTGACGCCGTCTTGGGTCGTCATGGAAACATCTTGGAATCTCTGGAGCCACCTTGGGCCGTCTTATGGGCATGTTTGGCCATCTTGGCGGCCTTGGTGGCCGTCTGGTCCGTCTTGGAAGCCTTGGAAAACCCCAGGTAGGCGCCATGGCCGCCCTGGGACCTCTGGGAGGAGGGGTGGTGCATGCGGTTGGGCGCTGCTCGAGGGGTGGAGGGTCCTTAAGAAGATTGCAGGAGCTCTGCCAGACAGCCATTGTCATTCTTCCACGCCTCAACGTGCATGGGGCACTGTGGTGGATTTCAAAGTGACGTCGAGACTCCGGGATGGGTCACTTTTGGCAAGGTCGGGCTCAAAGTCGTTCATGGACGCACGGGCAGTGGCCTCGCGTATTTGAATATATACGTGAAGCATTTGGAGCGGTCAGGATTTGCCGTCGGAGGTCTACTTGGCGAAGACGACCACGACGACGTAATCGCCCCTACAGAGAAATGTGCCAAGCGTTTGTTCCTGAGTGATGACGTGGAGACACGCAGCCGGGCCCCTTCAACGTTCTCAGTCGCAACCGCAAGCCTCGCCTGAGCATGCAGGCGGCGTTGCCCCTGCGAGGCCTGGCGGGGCATGGGGGGGAGGAGGAGGGCCGGGGGAGCAGCGAGGTGAGCTGGCTACACAGTTGGCTGAGCTATTTCGCGACTGTGACTTTAAAACAACTTTTGCAACGGCCGCGCCGCTGGTTTGCGAAACCCTGGTAGGTGCTCTGCTGCTGCGTCGGATATTCTATTCTGCGTTGGGTGCTCTATTCGGGCAGATGCCCAGCGAGCCCGAAGGTCTTCATACTGTGTCGCACAGCGGTGCTGTGACTCCAGGCCAGGCTGCTTTTGATTTGGTTGAAATGAGGAGTCAAACAGGAGGAGGAAGGATGGAGGGAGTGAAGAAGGCAGGGAGGGAGAAGGACGTGGTGAAGGAATGGACGAGGATGAGGGAGGAGGGAGGAGAAGGGAGAAGGGAAGGTGGGAGGAGGGAGGAGGGAGGAGGGAAGGTGGGAAGAGGGAGCCGTAGCCATTTTGGCTCAAGTTCGAACACTTGCGTCTTGGTGCTCGAACCTGCTGCAGCCGAAAGGCGAGGCTCGAGGGCTTCGCGGTCGGAGCGGCCTTTCAGCACGCACGCGCCGCACTCCAGGTCTCTGCCTTGCCAGGCGGGTGGCGCAACTGGCAGTGGGAGTCCCGGCAGCAGCCCAAGCGCGCCCAGGGCAACAAGGAACGCAGCTATGTTGTTTGTGATGCATGTGGCAAGTGGAAGTGGCAGGACCGCCTCAAGAAGGATCCGCTTTGTCTTTGCGGCCAGCTTCTTTGTTCTCCTAGTGGGGAAGGCAGTCAACCACAGCAGCAGTTTACCCTCGAGCAGCTCTTTGAACTGTTCGCCAAGTATGGGCATGTTCTACCACCATCAGCTACGGAGGGTGCCAAGACAGCAGCAGCAGCAGTGGCACCCCAGCCGGCGGCAAAAGACTTGTCGGCGATCTTCCAGCTTCGGCAGACGGCGGTCGAGAGGGCAGCCAAGCATGCCGATGAAGCACAGCAGCGTGTCCAAGCTCTTCAGGCCCAGCTTGAGGATGCACGGGCAGCGCAGAACCAAGCAAATGAGGCCCTGGTCAAGGCCATGGCCCAAGCGGCCACCGCTGGCCGAGACCTACGCCGCGGCCGTGCAGGCACATAAGGAGCCAGATGATGACGGCATGTCCGACGTCTCCGATGGGAGCGACATCGGCGACCTCACGGCGGAGGACATCGGTGAATTCAAGGGCCTCGTCCAGGGCAAGCCCAAGTTCCAGAGGTTCCTGGACAAGGTCGAGCAGCGAGCTAACAAGCGGGCAAGGCGTGCAGCCCCAGGCGCCTCCCCAGCCCAGGCACCACAACCGGGTGCTCCGCAGGTTTTTGCTCCTGGTGGACCTCGGCAGCCCGCTGACATTCAACATGCAGCCAACGGAGCAGCTGATCGAGCAGTTGGCCAGCCAGCAGCAGCGGTGGCACAACCTCCTGGCCAGCCGACATCGGGGTAGCATCAATATCTACCTCGCCAGTTTCACTACCTAGGGGAAAAAGGCTGAGGATTTCTTTTTTTTTGAGAAGTCCCACGATGTTGACCTCTTCATCGTCGCTGAAGTTCACAAGTCAGGTGGTGACTTGTCTGCGCTTCGGAAGAAGTGGAAGAAACGTTCTTCGTAGTCATCTGTGTGCCCAGCGTTGCAATCTCCTGGAGGCGGTACTCACGGGGGAGTTTTGATTGGAGCGCAAGCACGATACCATGCGCATTCTAGACTCATCGGAGCCCGAGGACGACCAGTTCCTGTTGTCTCGGGTTCACAGCGGACCAGCTGCATCCTACGTCTTCAAGGGGTCGACATCCTCGTTCTGGGCGCCTACTTCTGGGACTCCATCGGCTACGCTGGCCTGAATAAGGAGATGATCCGTGAAATTCTTACGCTCATCAGGCAGATGAGCATGCCCTTCATCCTGGGGGGGATTTCAATATGCCGCCATCAGCCATCCAGGCAATCAGACCATCAACCGAGGGGAGCTCATCGCCGCCATCAACGCCTTCCGATTGCAGGGCCTCTCCATCTGATGACGGATCGTATATGCGTTGTCCGAGGGTATAGACATGGGGCACAATGGCGCCACATATTCAATACTCACCTCTGGAGTGTGTGCTGGAAGGTTCTCTCGGGGCGGACCCACCCTTCACCCTTGACAAGGTAAAGGCCCATGCATCTCTGGAAGATCTTGAGACTGGTGTGGTATACCCCGTATCGTACGTTGCCAACCATGTTGCTGATGCAGTTGCTAAACGGGGCGCAGCCTTCTATGAACTTCTTCCTGAAGAGATACCCGAACATGTTCGGAACCAAGATGATGAAATGAGCCTTGTAGTAAAACGCCTAGCAGTAATTCAATCCCTGGTTTGGGCCCATGGGCTCAACTTGGGGGCCTTAAAGGCCCCCCACAATGCTATAGTTCGTAGGCTTCGGGAGGCTCAACTGAGCCCACATTCGATTGAGCGGCGTGGTAACATAATCCAATGTGTGCGGTGTGCTCGGGTTGGGGTTGTTGGCAAAGCTCGCTGGGTTAATCTACCCTGCTGCCCCCATCCTGGAGTTTTTTAACACCCATGAATCCCACCGTCCCCACCTCCGTGCCTACCGAGGGGTGACGTGTTGGTTGAGATGTGGGGGGTGGTCGGCTCATCGGAGCAAGAAGCTTCGAGCAGAGTGCCTGCCAGCCACCCTCACAGGATGCAAAGCCGTCCGTAGATTTACTTCGTGCCAGCTGCCCCACGGGTTGCTTGCCTGGCCCTCAGGAGAGATTGCGATGCTCCGAGAAGGAGCCGCCGGGCGTGCAGGAGTCGAGCCCTTACAGTAGGCTCGAGGCGTGGGCCCGCGGCGCGCGCGGACCAGGCCCCCTTAAACTGGAAACTGGAAACAGGTGGGAAGAGGGAGCAGGGAGGAGGAACGAGGATGAGGACGAGGAGGACGAAAACGAGGGAGGAGGACGAGGAGGGAGGACGGGGGACGAGGAGGAGGAGGAGGACGAGGATGAGGAAGAGGAGGGCGAGGACGAGGGCGAGGAGGACGAGGAGGGCGAGGAGGACGAGGAAGAGGAGGAGGAGGAGGACGAGGAGGACGAGAAGGACGAGGACGATGACGAGGAGGAGGGCGTGGAGGAGGATGAGGAGGAGGAGGAGGAGAAGGTGACAATGGAGGACGTGGAGAAGGAGGATGGGGGCAGGAGGAGGAGGAGCACAGGAGGAGCAGGAGGAGGGAGGAGGGGAGAAGAGAAGGGGGGGAGGGAAAAGGATGGGGACGGACGGATGAGGAGAGGGAGGGAAACGGAGGAGGAGGGAAAGGAGGGAGGAGGAGGAGGGAGGAGGCCGGAGGGGGGGGGATGAGGGAGGAGAAGGAGGAGGAGGAGGAGGAGGAGGAGGAGGAGGAGGAGGAAGAGGAAGAGGGGGAGGAAGAGGAGGAGGAGGGAGAAGAGAGAAGGAGGGAGGAGGAGGAGGAGGAAAGAGGAGGGGGGAGGCGGAGGGAGGGGGGATGAGGAGGGGGGAGGAGAAAGACGGAGAGGGGGGGAGGGAGGATGGAGGGGGGAGGGAGGAGGGAGGAAGGGAGGAAGGGGGAGGAAGGGAGGGAGGGAGGAGGGAAGAGGAGATGGCGGGAGGGCTGGAGGAGGAGGGGGCGGAAGGCGGGAGGGCGGGGGGGGAGGAGGGGGCAGGCGGAGAGCAGGAGAGAGGAGGAGGAGGAGGAGGAGGAGGAGGAAGGAGGAGGAGGAAAAGGAGAGGAGGGAGGAGGGAGGAGGGAGGAACATGGAAGGAGGAGGGGGAGGGAGGAGGAGGGGGGAGGAGGAGGAAGGAGGAGGGAGGGAACAGGAGGGAGAAAGAAACAAGTGGGTGAAGAGGAAGGAGGAGGAGAGGGGAGAGGAGGAGGAGGGAGGAGGAGGGGGGAGGAGGGAGGAGGAGGGAGGAGGAAGAGGGAGGAGGAGGGAGGAGGAAGGAGCAGGGAGGAGGGTTGATGGAAGAGGGACGGTGGGAGAAAAGGATGGAGGGAGGGAGGGAGAGAGGGCGGGCAGGAGGGAGTGAGGGAGGGAGGGTCGGAGAAGGAGGCGGAGGAGGAGGAGGAGGAGGAGGAGGAGGAGGAGGAGGAGGAGGAGGAGGAAGAGGAGGAAAAGGAGGAGGAACAGGAACAGGAGGAGGAGGAGGAGGAGGAGGGGGAGGAGGAGGTGGAGGATGAGGGAGGCGTCAGGAGGGAGGAGGATGGATGAAGGAGGGAGGAGGAGGGAGGACGTGGGATGAGGACGGAAGAGGGGGGAGGGGGAGGGAGGAGGGGACGCCAGGATAACAGGCGGGTTGGCAGCCCGATCGTCACCACAGCTCGACGGGGCTGTGGGTGAGAGTTTCGCCCTGTGGTTGGCCAGCCAGGGTAGGTGCGGGCCCGTCGGTCCACCCTTGACAGGCCCGATGGGGTTACTCGAAGGGGTCCCCCGACGTGGGGGGTGCGGGAACTTAAGTCCTTGGGCAGCGGGGTCCCCGCTGCTTGAGGCATGCGGCCAAGCGGGGGTGGTGCCGGTGGCCGTGTTTCGGGGTGGCGTCCCGAGGCGCCTCGCAACGGCGGCACAGATGTGACGCCTGGGCGTTTCTGTGCCGCCGTTCATGTTGCGAGGTCCGACTGCATGTGAGTTCATGCAGGCATCTTGGGTACCTACCTTCGGGTTGTGTCGCCCAGGTGTTCTGTCCGGGTACAGTCAAGGAACACGAAGGAGGAAGCGGGAGGGGTGCCACTGAAGTCCAAACGTATTGCAAATCCCATGTGTTTTTGGACCCTGACCCTGCGGATCTGGATGAGGGGTGTCAATTTTTACCCCCCCAGAAATTCTGAGGATCCTCCCAGGGCGTGGTAGTTCTGCTGGTTTGGGTTCCCCCCCCCTCGCGCGTTCATCAACAAGGAACAGTAAGCAGCAAGAAGCTGAACTGTAACAGTGGAAACTGTAAGCTGCAACAGGTACAGGGAGCAGCACATTCCCGGCCCACTTCCTGGTGGCCCCGCAAGGGGGCCGGCGGATCTTCTATCGTGACGTGTTGTGTTCTGTCGTGCTAGTCGCTGTGCTCCTGTTGGCGTGTTGTGGCATGTTATAAACGCTGTGTCGTGATATGATATGATCCGTCCAGTTGTGTTATGTTATGATCAGTCCTGTTATGCTATTGTGTGTTATGTCATGTTATGTTCTGTAATGATTTGCCATGGTATGCTTTGTGGTGTTATAGTGTTTTGTACTGTATCATGCATTGTTCTGTTATGGTTTGCCAAGTTTGTTATGCGACTGTATGTTGTGTTATGCTGTCTCATGGTATGACTTGTTATGTCAGGTTATGTCATGATATGTCATGTTATGTCGGGACATGTCTACTCTGATGTGCTATTATGTCATGATGTGATAGGGCATGATGTGTGATGTTATGCCATGGTATGTTTTGAAAAGATACTGCCACATGAAGTTCCGGTGTGTCATGTAATGGTCGTGCTTTGTCATGTTATATTATATTGACATATTGTCTTCTGTCGTGCTCGTCGCTCTGCTCTGTTGGTGTGATATGGCATGGTCTGAACGCTGTGCCATGACAGGATATGTTCCGTCAATGAGTGGTATGTAATGTTCAGTTATGTTATGTTATGGTGTGTTTATGTCGTGTTATAGTATACGCTGTTCTGCCATGGTGTGTTTCGTGTTGTTATATTACGCTGCGCTTGCCATGGTATTGCTATGATATGTTATGTCATGCCATGTTGGATATTGCTGTGTTTTTCGTGTTTGTCGAAAGCGCGAGACGGGACTCCCAGGGACTCGGGGGCTCGGGACAACTTGGGGTCTGGCGGCCGCGGTACGCAGTCGTGTTTGTCGAGGGTGCGAGGCGGGAGTCCCAGGGACTATCAGGGACTCTCGGGACAACTTGGGGTCAGGCGGCCGCGGTATGCGTGGGGTTGGCCAGGGGGTCTGTTCTTGAAATCTAATAGCCCCAGCCTGTCGGGTGGGGAAAAGCCTCTCACAAGGCTGGGGGATCTCTGGGCCTTCTGAGAAGGCCTTTTCGCCTTCTCACTTGCCCCCCTGGCTCGCAGCCGAGAGACAGCAGCGGCTTGCGCGCTGGGGTGTGCCCCCCGCCCTCCCTCCCTCGAGCCCAGAGTGCCGCACGCCAAAGGTCACTCCAGGGGGTGTGGAGGTGCGGGCCAAAGCCCTGAGATCTGGGCGACGGAGCTTTTTGCCACACCAGGTGCTGTTCATCCCAGTTTCGAGCCCTGGGGCCCTCGCAGATGGGTCCGGCTCGAGAGATGCCGCAGAGAGATGGGCTCAAGGTCTCCGGTCTTGATGTTACATGATGCTGCATGTCGTACGCAATGCACATGTACATGATGCTGCATGTTGCTTGATGTTACATGATGCTGCATGTTCGATCATGAAATCCTTGGTCGTTCGTGCGGAAGACCTCCAAGGACAGCAGACAGGCCACCGATGGCCTCCGAAATGCCGCCGACTATCACCGAAGTCGGATGGGTAACACGGGGTCCGTGGTGGAACGCGTGGCAGCTGGATCAAAGGAAATGGGACACGAGGCACGCACGAAGCCTGTGCCCCCGGGCCGGCCCAGGACGATACACAGGCGCTGGGGACAGGGTCCAGGCCTCTGGGCGTCCTCGTTTTTGTGTCGGGGTCTGGGGAGGACGAGAGGAGGAGGACAATGACGCCGAAGCGCCTCAAGACAGCACAGGGCCCACCCCAGTCAAATGCCACGGAGATGGTTCGGGCCCAGATCATGAGACACACACATATATATATACATATATATATATATATACTCGACTGTACTATTGCCCTGCATGTTGCCAGACGCTCTGGCGCGAGAGCCCAGCGCGGTTCGCCGCCCTGGCCTCCCTGGGGGGGGGGGGGCTCTCCCATGTCGCCTCGTCGTTCGCTCCTCCCTCGGTGTTCGCGTCCTCGTCGTCGCCATCCGAGGCGTGCGGGACTCCAGAATGCTCATGGGCTCCCATCGCTGCGCGGAACGTCGTGATGCGTTTGGTCGCGGTGGCTTTGCACATCTAGCAGTGGAAGCGGTGCCCCTGGCCCGTCGTCGCCATGGCCTCTTTCCTGGCGTGTAGCCGCCTGGTCTCTGCGCCGGAAGCTCGGCACTACGGGCTCGGCGAGTATCCCCTCTCATCGCCAAAATTACAGGACGAGTAGAGTGCCTTCCACACCGCCTTTCCACGCCGCTGGCGTCGCCGCAGGCGGGGTCTGGTAGGCCCACCTTCCATTTCATGCGGGAGTTTCTACTCTCCCTCTCCCTCTGCAAGCGCCCATCATCGAACCGCGGTCTGGCGCGCGTCGCACATTTACGGGAACGTGAATTTCCTCCTCCCCCCGAACCCTTAAACCCTTCTCTTTCCTTGTTGTAAAGCTTCTATGATCTGCTTGATTGGCGGATTGCCCAACATGTCGGCAGGCATGTCGATCTTGGGGCCCCTACCTGCGCTTTGGGTATGTCGGCCCGATATGTGTTTATTGACTCCAGAGCACCCTCAGCATTTGACGTGACGAAGAGCGCGGCGGTGGGACGGCTGCAGTCTTCTCGGGCATGCCAACGTCTTGGTTTATCATAATCCCCGTTCACAGGGCCTCGATCCTCGGCACCTCGAAACCTCGATCCTCGATCTTCGATCCTTGATCCTCGATCCTCGATCCTTGATCATCGATCCTCGATCCTGATTAGGGACCTCGTTTCGTGACCGTTGGAGGTCTGGGTTTGGGAATCGGTGCTCTTTGTACTCCTTGTGTTTGCGACCCCGCACCCCCCCCCCCAGGATCCAAGGACCGCCCAAACTAGGCTAGGGGCAACCAGAAACATAAAGAGTCCTAACCCCTCCGTGTTGGCATCTCTTCCCCAGCGGAAGGCGGAGGAAGGGCGGCGGAAGGCGGGCGCAAGTAAAACGAGGGCACCTCTCCCGACGGAAGCAGGCGGAAACCGGTGGAAGTAAAAGATACGCCCCGGAGAGATGGCACCATGTTTGGGTCCAGTGTTTCCGGCATCGGCCACACACGCGCATCTCTATCTATATATATGTATATATATATACACGTACACACATGGATACACACACATACGCATCGTTCGTTCTGCATCGGCCCGTTGATGTTACCACTTCTGGTAGATGGGTTGGGTGCGTTCCCAGGTATGCTTTGCTTGGCTGTGCAAGCTAAGTCCAAGCTGCCGGGGCCCCGCTTCGGGCTCTGGCTTAATCGAGTTCAGTGCCGGGGTGTTCAGAGCATGTGCAGGGTCATTGCAGTCGTTGCAAGTCTGGCTTCCACGCGGTTGCAGTGGCTCGGCCATGCAATCATCCAGCCTTCGCGCTGTATTGGCTCCAGAGGCTTCCTGGCACACATTACTTTACACTACGTGCAGCTTCGGCCGAACTGCCTCCGTCCTTTCCAGTGCCTGTCCAAGCCACCCGCTGTCGGGATGGCGGCTCAGAACCCTGGGCCATGTGGTTGGCGGGGGTGTCTGTTCACAGCACAGTGGTAGCCGCAATGTCTCTCAAGGCCGACAGCGCCCTGGCAGCCCCAGAGGCAGCCGAGAGAACCGCTGCTCGGACGGGCTCCGTCGCCCTGCTGCCGGAGACTGGCATCTACATGCAGAAAGGAGGCGAGTTTGTGACGTGGGGTTCAGGGATGGACCCAGCATCGGGATCTGATGCGCAAGTGTGGTATATGCGCAAGTGCTCTGGAACTGACGCCACTGCCTGTTTGGGCTACGACAGCGCCTGGACGTCTACCACCAGTGCGCTGCTCTCGGGGGACGTGGTGGCGTGGCACAACAAGCAATCAGGCCGTGTGTATGACTGTGCACATGGGGGGTGCACCTATCAGCCCTACCCGCCGCCGGGCGGACACTGGGGAACACCGTACCGCATCATCAAGTTATCCATTGGCTTGCGGTTGGGTGGCTGCTCGGGGATTCCTCTATAG